GGGGCGGGCCGGGGGCGGGCCGAGGGGCGGGCCTGGGGCTGGCGTCCGACCCGCCCGGAGGATGCCCGTCCCCAGGCTGTCCCTCCGGAAGGATGTCCCCCTGGAGGATACCTGTCGCCTCTGAGAATACCCCTTCTCCCCTGAAAGTCCCTCCGGAGAATGCTCGCCCCTGCCCCCCGAGCCTGCCCCCATGCCACCTTGGCGACTTCTCCCTGGAGAGGGGACCCCCAAAGATGCTCGCCTGAAGGATGTTCCTGCGAGGATCCCCTAGAATAGGATGTCCCCCTGGAGGATGTCTGTGCCCCCGCAAACCCACCAACCAGAAAATCTCTCTCCCCTTGCCCCAGAACCTCCCCCTGGAGGACGCCTCTCTGCCCCAAGGTCCCCACCCTGTAGGGCTCTCTCTCCGAGGATGCCTGCCCCCTCCATGGCCAGAACTGTTGCCTGAAGAAGGCCCTTCTCTGGAGGGGGTCCTCCTCAGAAGAATGTAGCCCCAGATGCCCTCTGGAGGATGCTTCTGGAGGACCCCTGCCCCCAGGAGAACACCGCACAATATCACCTACCACGATGCCCCCCACCCAGGATGAGCTCAGCGAGAATGTCCCTCTGAAGGGTGCCCCCCGGATGTTGTCCATAGCAGATGTCCCCCGCTAAGGACCGCCCCCGGCAGGATGCCCTCCAGCTGTCGCCTGGGGCTGCTGTCTCCTCAGATTTCCTTGGGGGAGCTACCTGCCTCCAAGCTCCCTCGGACTGTCAGCAGAACTCCTCTTCCTGGGGCAGCAGGACGGAGGTACGTGTCCCCCCAAAGGCTCACAGCCTGGCACTTTGTTTCTTCAAGGCCAGCAGCAGTCTCTTCCAGACTGAGAGTCCCACAGTGCCACGTCTCCACGGGCCTGACCTCCTGCCCCTTGGCCGCATTCTAACGGTTACAAGAAAGCAGGAGTCACCTGCACTGAGGGCGAGGCCCCTCACAAAGGCTAAACATGGAGACAGAAATGCCTGGACGTCCTCTTCAGGTGACCCAGGCCAGTTAAACACCCCCGAGGGGCTCTCTCTGGGCCTGTGAAGTGGCTGCTGGCACTCCCTCTTCACGTACAGGGACCAGCTTCAGACACACTTCAGCTGCATGTTCCCCAGCAACTGTGGGTCTCGCACTCACCCTCTGCCTTTGACGCCGGCTGGGTGGCGATAGGAAGCCAGCAAAGCTGGTGCCCCACCACTGGAAACGAAAGTTGAGAGTGGCCACTCCAGCTAAAATTCTTCTTCTGTAACTACTATACCACTTTGTTTCAAAAAAGCATACCTGGAATCTAGGTCTGGGTTTCAGATTGGGCCACGAGGATGGCTCCTGGGAGAGCCGCCTGCGGGGTGATGAGTGAGATGGCCCGGCCCTCCCCGCAGGACGCTGCCCTCTCCCCGCCCGGCAAGCCAGCGAACAGGCCTCAGGCTGCCCATGCCCGGGGACGTGGCTTTCCTCGAGCTGTGCAGCTGTCGGCAGCCCAGAGCTGACGGGAACCCTCCCACCTTGGCCGTGGGTGTGGCTGAAGGCCTCTCTTGGTGCTGACGCTCACTCCCTGTGGGCTCATCCACCTCCAGCACCGCCCCGGGCACAGTCTCACCTGGGTGGAAACTGCGTGTCCTGCTATCTTGCTTTGTGAAAGGACAGTGGTGACTCCCCCAAAGGTACGGAGTTCTGGGCATTTCTGCCAGTTGTGGCCAAGGTAGGTTTCCTGAGGAGCGAGGAACAGAGTAGCTGTGGGCAGCCAGCGGGGCTGGCCCTCTGCAGACTGCGCCGTCGGCCTGGCCTGCTCCCGGGCCGATTTGCAGCCAGCCTTGGAGAACCCGCAGTGAGATCCAGGAGGCTGGGCGCCTCTGAGGAAGGCGTTGATGGGCTCTGGGGGCGCTCTGCAGGGTTAAGCCACCCCCAGAGCGCTTGGGTGGGCAGGCCCTGCCCGCCTCTGCCCCAGGAAACAGACACGTGTGCGGTATAGGTGAGGCTGCCACAGCCCCAGCCTGGCCGCGCTCAGAGCACAGGCTTCCCACTGCTGCCTGCTGCCAGGGCCAGAGCCACCAGCTCCTCCTCCACCAGGGTTTTCTGAGACATCACCCAGCATTACAAGCGACAGTCACACCCAACTGCACCTTTAGCTGCTTCTGTGCATGGTCTGCCCAGAGCTCATCTCTGGGGCTTAGCCCAGGTCTTCCGTCTGCAGCCTGGGACGCCAGCTATGGGCTCTGCACTCCGGACGGCTCGCTGCTGCGCTGGGCAGGGGGTGGAGGGTGAGGGCAGTGAGAGGGAGGCCCGGGGTGGGGGTGTGTTCTCTCTGTGACGCTGCCGACTTTCGCTCCTCTTCCTTCTAACGCACTCAGGCCATGGTGCCTGCCACGCAGCGGGGAAAGGTGACAGAACCCTGTGTCTGGGCACCTGGGGGGAGTGTGGTGTCCCCTGAGCTTGTCTGGCGGCAGAGCTCATGGGTTCCACCTAGGAATGGAGAGGAGAGGCCAGGGTGCGCAGGGGCAGTGGTGGCCACAGACTCCTTCCTGGGTGCCGTCCAGATTCTCCTCCACGCAGCAGGAGGTGACCGCTGAGGGCGTGATCTTCTGTTGAAGACCCTCCCTGGGGCCCCCAAGCAGTGGGTCTAACCATGGGGTACAAGCTACTGCCCTAGGTTCCAGCACAGGACGGTGGAGCAGGAGGGCCGGCGGCCGTGCAGGATCAGCGGCTCCGACGAGACGTGCTGTGCCAGCTGTCGGGGGCCCGGATGGGGAACCAGGACGCCAGCCACGTGCTCAGGGCCCCGAGGTGGGCTCCTGGCCTGGCCTCATGGGCTCAGCGAGTTCTGACCTCCTGCTCCCAGGGGTGGGGGGGCAGCTGTCTTCAGTCTCCTTGGTTCCTCAGATTGAGCCGGCGGCGCAGTGTCTGGCTGAAGGGAGAGTGCCTCCTCTCACTTGGCAGGTCCGGTCCCTCCTTTGTGAAGACGATCCCAGGCCGAAGACCCGCGTCCAGTCGGGAGGAGACGCCAGCTCCGCCTCGTCTCCACGTGGAGGGCTGGCCACAGGCAACAACGTAACGCCTGGACCTGTTCCTAGTTTGTACGCACATTGTATCAAGTGAGCCAAGTACATCGAAGTACAGCTCCAGTTATAAATCTTGGAAAAATAAAACTCCTCATTATAGAAAAAGTTAACTTAGTTTGGTATCAAAATCACACAACTCCAAGTTGCTTTTTTGTGCTTTAATATCCCTCAGTCAAACAAAAGCGGATTTCAGTCAACTCCCGGCCCGGACTGCGACAGCCCCACCGTCCTGCCAGCCCTCCACTCATTTGGTCTGTTTGCAAGTTACTCGTTAATACAAAAATAACCGCTACAAATTCTCTGTATCTGGCGTATAAAAACTGAGCAGAAAGGATCTCAGTAGTCGTTACATTAAAACAAAACAGCTCAGAAAAAATACAACACGAGTTTAACTTTTGCAGTATTTTTTTCATATAAAACACTAGTAAAATAGGCTCCTTAAAAATTAAATAGTGAAATACCAACCAAATTATATACATCGTTACAGTACAAGTGAATGAGGCAAAATATCCAGTTCTCAGTCTCTTGGGTGGTGGAGGGGCCGTGGCCTGCGGCCTGATGCTCTCCCGAGGTCACAGTCAGTTGAGAGAGCGTCGCGGACATATGGACAGACGGGAAGGCCAGTGCCCCTCAGAGCAGGGGGAGGTCGATGTTTTATTGCTTGCTGTGCCAGGTCTCTGTCTCCCCGCCTGCACTGTGCCTGGTCCTCAGGCTGTGCCAGTGTGTGGGCACAGGCGTGGCCAAGCCGATGTCACAGGAGCCACATGTGTCCAGAGAAGACATGGCCCGGGCTCACCCCCTTGGCTCCGGGCATCTGAGCAGGCCCATCCCGGTCGCTGGGGCCTCCGAGCCCAGATAGTCTGAACGGCACCACAGGGGCCTCTGGCACCCGAGGGCAGGCAGCAGGGCTGGTGGCACGTGGCCCCACTGACCGCTGGATGACCAGGGTGCCCACCCGCCCTCCCCTGCCGCCCGCTGCGAGCGTCTACGTCCGGCGCCGCTTGGCTGCGCTGGGGCTGGAGGGGTTGCTGTTGGCGGTCAGGACTTTGTCGGTGACCCGGCTGCGCTTCCGCTTGTCCGACCCCTCTTTGGACCCCAAGTCTGAGTTGTTCTTGTCTTTGTCTTTGCTGGACTTTTCTGTTGCTTTCCCCAAGCTTCCTGAAGATGAAAAAACTGGGAGACAAAATCATTTGGCTGAAAACAGAATATCCAAAATTTTATTTCATCTTCCTGTTCGGTTAAAAAAATCGGCACCTACACACATGACACTGACCCCAAAAGGCTTCTCCTGAGCTGAGGGCGCCCGTGTGGCCTGAAGGATTGGCCGCCAACGCGCCTACCCCCGAGAGGAACGAGGCCCAGCCTCGCCGTCTGCTCTCCAGAGCTCACCTGCGCCGAGACGCGGCGTTCCCTTCACCCTTCACTGCACGTCCACCTCCCAGGCCCCCGGCCCAGGGCCGCCCTGGTCCCTCCACCTGCTGGCCACGTGCGTGACTTCCCCGCGTGAGGCTCTGCAGACGGAAGCTGCCTTCTCATCTGCTGAGCCAGACAGGGGGGCCCTGGCTGCGTGTGCACGGGCGTGTGGCTGTGCCCCGCGGGAAGGCCTTGCCAGGTGGGGTGCTGTGCCTCCCGGGGCCCCAGGGAGGGGAGCGCTCCGCACTTACCATCATCGGCCCCGTTGTGGGGGTCCACGTCTTCCTTCATTTCTTCTTTCATTTCCTCCTCAATGATCACTTTTCCTGTGGGGGAGACGGCTGTGACCTAAAGCCCGCGGTGGTGGGAAAGCGGCCCCGCCCGGCCCGTGGTGGCTCAGGCCAGGGACTGCTCCCGACTTGGGGGGCGTGTACGGGTCTCAGCTGCCACCAGGACGCTTTTAAAAGAAGGCCAACTGTTCTCGAACAAGTCCTCCCGAATCCCAGAAGCTCCCCAGGCCTCCCAGTCCGAGGACCCAGCACCACCCAGCCAGTGACCCTTACCACCCCCAGCACCACTGCCCTCGGCCTCACCCAGCTCCCAAATCTGACCTCGCCCAATCTCACCTTCTCGGACTTCTTGGATGATTTCTTCTGGAAGGACAAAGTTCCTCTCTGGATTTGGGAATGGAAGAATCTCAGACTCGTGCTGATGGCAAACAGGGCATTTTGTTTTTTAGGGAACAAAGAAGAAGTGATTTTAGCAAGTCACTCAAGATGTGTAAGAGCCAACTCAGAAGCACCCAGCGACACAGGTGAGTGTCTCAGGGGCTGCAGGGGCAGGTACGTGCTGGGGGTGGGGGAGACTGTCTGCTTTTTCTCTGGTAAGGTCTACGAGGGGCTGGGTTTGTCACACAGACCAGACAAGGCAAAACCACAGCACGAGCCACAGGCAAGGGTCATGAGGGGAGAAGATGGGCTTCGTGTCACCTGAGGTGACACTGGGCAGCCCCACCTGCTGGCCCCGCCCCCAGGGGCAGAATCAGGCAGCAGCTGTCTTGCTGGCCCGCCTGGCCACGTGGGCTCTGGCTCCAGGAGAGTGCATTCGGAGACTGGGACAGCCCTGAGGGAAGGCCACGGTGCCTCTGGTCCTGTCTGCAAGGACAGGAGCCAGGGTGTCGGGAGGGAGAGCCACTCCCGTGGAAACGAGATAAGCAAAGCAAAATGGAGGAAGGCACACTGAACGCCTGTCGGGGGGGTTCCACCGGTCCTGCAGGTCACACATGCAGGGGACACAGCCCCAGAAATCCGAACACTGGACAAAGGGAAAGGTGACCTGGTGGGAAGGGTCCCGGAGTTGGGAGGGAGATTCCGAAGATGGGGCTTCCAGTTGGCTACCTGGGAGCTGCGTTTATAAGCCAGGTGGTCAGCGTGTAAACATGCTGACCAACATCTGGGAGCTTCAAAAACCCTGAGAGCTCGTGGGCCCACTGGTCACCTTGTGGGTAGGGCCCAGGGACTTGTATTTGCAAAACCCCAGGTGACTCTGGCATCAGCCCCGCAGCAGTGCAGGGGTCTAAGGAAAGAAGGAAGGGCCGCTTTTCCTGGGCTGATACCCCTGCAAAGGGGGCACCCTGCAGCTCCCTGAGTGTCACAAGGGTCCTGTGCAGGCCCCCGGGCTCCTCTGAGCCAGCCTCCGTGTTGTCTGTCTGTCTCTCCTATTGCACCAGGGGCTCCCCCAGGACAGGCCCCTGCGACACTCATCTCTGTATCCAGCTTCTGACTCCCAACCTGGAGTCTACACACACGAAGTGCTTGGGGACCAGGTGAGCCCACAACATGACAGGCGTGGGAGCCAGTCAAGCAGCTAGACGTGGAGGGAGGCCTGACTGGTGGGCACAACCCCTCTGGAGGCCTGCTTTAGTTAAGTGGCTTGTCCTTGAGTTGCCAGGGTGCTGACTGGGGACCAGGCAGTCAGCTCCAGGGCACAGCTGTCATCTTTATACCTTTTCTATGCTATGACAAGGAGCTGCAAAAGACTGGATGGAGGAGAGCTAGGGCTTCACTCCCTGCCACAGTGATACGCACCAGGTCTTGGCTGGGGGTGCTGGTGGAGCCCCCAGTCCAGCAGGGAGGCAGGAGCTTCCCTAAGCCCAGCACAGACTTGCTGGTCACCTGACACCCCCACTCCCACGCACTCTCCAGACACTCTGGTCTTCTCTGCACCCCAGCGCCTGCTGCCACAGGGCCTTGACACCTGCTGTTCTGCCAGGGGTGCCCGCTTGTCTCTTCAGGCCATCCTGGTGACCAAGTTAACCTGCTCGTCCTCAGACACGGCTAGCTGGGGATTCCGTGAAGCCTGGGATGTCTGGTTCTCACAGAAGCCATCATATTCACCTTAACGTGACTCAGATCTGGTCACCTTCCTGCTTACAGCATGTGGGAACCTCCCATAAGACTGACAATGGCCTAAGAGCCCCCTCCCACAGGCCTCAGCTCCCCGACTAAACCCAGCTAGATCTTAACTAACTGGCCACCCAGTCTCAAGTAGGGTCCATGTGATACTCACCTACCAGCACCAGGCTTGTGTTTTCTGTAAAACTACTCAGAGCTACCTTGTTTAATGACTAACCTCCCTAGGGACACCCCAGACATCACCCTCCCCGAGGACAGGGCCTGGCACAGACCTAAAAAGGAGGCATGGAGGGGGCTCTGTCTGGGGGAGGGAGGAGCTCTGGCCTCGGGAGGATTGGGGAGGGGGGATCCAACTCACCAGCGCCTGCATGTCGTACATGGTGCTCAGATGGTCCCAGATGACCTTGGATGGGACCTGCCGACCGATGTTCTGGCTGAACTTGTCTCGGATACAGATCATGTGGAAGTGTCGGTTCACACCTGCAAAAGGAAGGGGTCAGCTTGTGGGCGAGGGCTGGGCCAGCAGGTAGGGTGGGGGGCAAGGGAGAGAAGGGCGACAGAAGGGAGAGAGGGAGCGGGAGAGAGGGCGCTGTGGTTGGAGGGGGAGG